TGATTTTAAATAACAAGACCTAAGAGTAGAACAATGAAGATAAACTTCATCGGGAAATTTGATACCTGGCAGTTTTAACTAAACCTTTCCTACTTATTTGCTTGCTATCAGCGATTTTTCATATCAAATTTATTCAAATAAACAAATAAAAAATACCAATTTCTGGAAATTTGATAGGCGATCCATGAGAGTCGCAATTTTTTAACCAACTATTCGCCGTGATAGTTGACATCACCCCTCAAGGCTTTAGTCTTGTCACAAAAACATTACCTACGTAGATCCCACTGTAATTCACCGTATCCGACAACTGAACTCATCACGTCCAAGACTTCAAAGTAGAACTCTGTGCACCTTACTTCCGAAACAGCATCCCGGAAATCACCTAAATCAGGGTTTTGTGTTCGGTCCGTGTGCATAATGAAATTGGTCGGTCCGGTGGAGTGCGTTAGTGATTGAGTCGTATTTAGTATCTGGGAAATGTGGTAATGAACGATGTCCTATTCTCTCCTTCTGGTCTTCTCTATACTTCACTTAAACCCTGAGTTGAATAGTTAGAACCAAGCACACTGTCACATCTGTTAATCGAAAAAAATGGATTGTATAAAAAAGTGGATTGCAGTTTCCTCCAACTTCTTTTTTTCTCCAAAAGTTTGAGCTATCAAGATGACATAGTAGATTCAGTCGTTCACAGTGACACACGTACAACAGCACAAAACTGGATCACATTTCCTGAGTGTAGGTGGTAGTCCTGAGAGTACTATACCGAAGTCCTGGTGTGCTGGCAAAAAAAAGAAAGTTTATGTGAATATCCATAGCAAAAAAATAACTGTATAATGGCTGTGTACAGAGTAAACATAGGAACAGTACAGGAGTTACATCACTGAGCAAACAGTTGTATTGCGAGATTGATCAGCTCGCAGTTGTTGCTGTGCTGGTTGTGATTCGTCTTCCGTTCGTGTTGTAACGGAAGCTTTCACAACAATGATATCTCCTTCTGTATCGCTTTGCTCTAACGGGATTCCGAGGATTTCAGCAGCTGTTTTCCTATAAATTTACTCTTTCTTGATGATTGAACTATTACACAGATCTTTTTCTTGGTTAAAGAAACATGCGTAATGAATGCTTTATAGAATTTTCCATATGCTAAATATTTAGTACGCATAATAAAAAAAGAAAATGAAGATCTCACTTCGACTAAGGAACATCTGAATTGTAACTTGCTTGATCAAGACCAAGTAAAGTAAAATCTAGAACTTACCTAAACATAAGCGTAACACTGTCACCAGTTTTTGCCGACACGTAATAACTGGACATTCCATACTGTAATGCGAATTTGGTGTGCCTTTCAATGCGAATAACTCGACGATGTTCCAAATCTGTTTTATTTCCAACAAGCATTAGTACCACTGGCTGAAATATTTTAGAAACTTGAGCCACAAGCTTTTTTAGAGACTTATAAGAAACTGAATTTGAAGTTGATGACGGATAAAGCGAAAAGTTCGAGAAACTGTTAGAGTGAAATATAGTGTTTGATGCGTATATTTAAGTTGTTAATTGTCTCATAAAGGAATGCATGCGAAGTTAATGGAATATATTTCATTTTATATGATTTCCATGTCAGAATCTGTGCAAAAATGATGTTATTTTAAACCGATTTGTGAGTTCAAAGTTAAGGAAGTATGAGCATCTGATTTTCTCAGCTTCTGAGGAAACAAAAATCAGTATCTATGTAATCTGCATGATGTAAATTTGAGAGCTTTCTTTTTATCGCTTACTCTTTCCTGAGTTTTGGTAACTTGCTTGATGATATTAATCCAGTCTTCAAGATTTTCAAAACTTGAGCTGTTGGTAACATCGTAAACAACAACAGCGCCATGTGCACCGTTGATGTATTTTTCAAGCATCGGACTTGCGATACTTTGTCCTCCAATGTCCCAAATCTACAAACTATGATGGTAGCATAATACTCAAATAAAAAACTGAGTTTTCGAAATAAAGATTTCATATGGAACAGTTTTATTTATACCATTTTATCGATATTAAAGGTTCAGTAGCAGCTACTTCTATAGATGGAGCTTGGAACTTCATGCATTAAATAAAACATGTGAGATACAATAAATTTACTTGCCTGTAATAGAACAGAAACATTGCCGGGCAAAGTTAATCGCCTGGTAAAGAAATCCAGGCCAATAGTCTGCAAACATGATTGCTGGATTCATTACACAGCAAAAAAGAGCTTTCCGAAGTCAACAAATGAAGATCAACTGAACATTACTTATATTACGTAAGTTACAAGACCGTTTCCTCGAAAATTTACAGGCATTTGGCTAATGTTAAGAAACATGGAGAAGTTCAAAACCTGCTGATACTGTCGTCCAAAATTATCCTGAGCAAATCGTACACAGAGTGACGTTTTACCACTAGCACCATCACCACATACCACTATTTTGATAATTTTTTGAATCGGAGTTTCTTCATCCCAGTCCATCTTGGTTTATGTTTTACCTTACCAGTAGTAATACATTTTCATTTTTATATCTCCCAGTATTTGATTTAACGGAAGAAAACCCGATATAACAAGAACATAAAATACTTGAACCATGAATTCAAAAGTTTTTAATGCTAGTGTGCTCAATGAGATTTTAGACCTTTGGGTAATCTATGTCTAATATGCTTAATCGTTCTTGAATGGCGCCACTGCCAAAGCAAAAAATAGAATAAGCAGAAACGGACGATATCTCGAATATAAAAAGTTTGAGAGAATTCTATGATCGAAGAGTCTTGCTAGAATCTGAAATTAAAAAATTTATAATTAATCGTTTAATCGTTTACATGCGCTGCATCCATGGTAACGGAATGTATAACGCCTGCATGCCCGCTTCCTTGCCAGTTAGAAATTTTCTTACACGGTTCCATGCTTTTTCTACTCACAGAATATTATGTCGCATATGGTGCGGCAGTGACTACCTCCAACAAGAAAGAATTCGACATTTACAGAACTTTTTAAATGGCATATACCCTGGACATCGGTAGAATGTTCGCCATTAATTGACAAATCAAAAAATATGTAGATTACCATGCAAATGTGGTAAATACTCGAAAGCAGTAGTCTACCTCTATCAAATAGCATTTCCTTTTATAATTATGAGTGACACGAAAAGGCACCTTGTTCATATTCTGTATACGGTTGTTAAAGATTCTCCCGTTTACATGAATATTTCATACACTCTTTGCTTAGTTTTGTTTATGAATTCTGTATTCGAAATAAGACACAACTTTAAGAGGAAACTGTTAGGAGAGCTTGAGGCAAATTTCGATGACTCCAGTTTCTATCCTACCTGGTAATATTGCATCTTTCCTTATTTGTGTTCTTATCTCCAGGAATGTACAGTCTCTCGTAGACCAACTCTCAGCCATATCTCAAGTAACATTTCCTCAATAAGCATTTGAATACATGCGACCTTTATCCTTATAAATTATTGGTTTTTGGCAAGTCATCTACATATATCGTTTAAATTTATCTTTTTCCAAACTTATGTCGCCTAAAATAATTTGCCGCATGCTGGCAAGAGATACAATTCTCAACTTATGTAAACATCTGAAGTGTACGGAATAATATCTCAAGACTGCTTCGAATCGATTTTTTTTTAATGTATAGGGGAGTGAAAATGTGCCAATAAGCAGCATTTTTCAAAAAAAGTGGTAAATAACGAAAACATTAATTTCAATTAACTATACAGAACATGCAAACCAAGTTAGATACAAGGAAAAACGGTGAAGATCAGAGAGCACAATCACAATAAAAAAGACCCGATAGTAAACTGTAGAATTCAACAGAACTCGTCTTCAATGGTTCGTTTACATGGCATTTTATACATACAGCGCCAACTCAGGTTTCTTCTATCACAATGAGCATCTTCTGGAAGATCTGCTTTTATGTTTCCACCTTGACTAACCCCTAAATTTGTAAGGTATGAAAATATCCAGATCAAAGCAATTTTTGGTCTTGCTCCTTAATATTTAAGCTTTTCGTTTTCAGCAGACTCTCCCGCCCCAATTTTTCCAGCAGTTCTCAACAGGGAGTCGGCGAAAAAAAAAATGCAATTCATCCAAAGTTCATAGTGACTTGAAACTCTATGCGCAAGAAAGGATTTTGCAGAGCAATGATATGCTCTCAGTGACCCTTTGACAAACCACAAATACCTCACAACATTCCAGAAATAGCTGGAGTCAAATTTCATTCCTTTTCGTGGACAAAATGGCGTGTTGATAATTTCAGCGAAGGAAAAACTAATTACTCACCAATTGCAAGCGCATTGCAGAATGATTCCCGCACAGGAATTAGTATGATAAGATCAACAAGATAGTACAAAACATTAGCCTCAAAAGCTGAACAAAATTTGCTTGTTAATCAAATCTACAATTTAAGCCAAAACTTGAGCATTAGTGATTGGAATAGAAATAATAAATAATACTATTAAACAACTTAAGCTAGGAAGTTACACATCTAATCATTTCTTGTGTGCCAGAAACGAAAGAAAAATCTGTACCACATAAAAGAGGATATGAAAAATCTTAATAATATGTCAGTAACTGAATTCATAAATTCAAAGTAACTGATAGAAAATAAAGAAATTGCTGCTGTGAGAAAAAATATACTATTTAATGCCATGTTTGAAATTAATTATGAAATCAGACAGGAAATGGAAAAAAAACAAGCAGGTGGAGAAAAAATGAGGTAGGATACAGAACGAATCGAATCAAATTTCACTAAATGAAAAGCTGTATAGAAACGTTTCAAAAAAAAAAAAAAAAGAAAATATATATATATATATATATCGCTGCTTTTAAGCTGAAACCGTAAATATGACAGATTTCCCTTGAAATTATTACTGCTGAATATAAAAAATTTAACACGAGAAAGGTGCAGAGAGAAAGCATTCGTAGAATTCATACAATTTAAACTGGAATTTCTAGAAGGCACATTTCTGGATACCACACTATGATTCTTCGCCAACCTCAAGCTTCGGGCTCGATTTTTCTTCTTTGATGAACATTTGTAGTGAGCTTGGAGTAACATTCTCGGCAGCTAATACTTCTTGCTTGATATCACAAAGGAGCACTGCTTCCGGATGCTCGCTGGCTGCAATCATCATACTTGCTGCAGATGCTGCAGCTGCTGTGGAAAGTAAACTTAACGGGTTATCAGGTTTCGGTGTCGACGGCGTACTTCGTGACGTATGCGCACGTTGAGGCCGTCGTCGGTAGAATTCTGAATCATCCACTGTCCATACGGCACCTTTCACATTCTGCTCAACCCGTGCAAAACATTTATGTAACGATAAGTTATGTCTCACTGCATTCTGCAAAATTTTTAATATTCACGGCAACTTTCAGTTCCACTGTTTTTAACAGTTTTAAAGCAAATTTTTACTGTACATATTTTTGTTTTTTTCATATTGAAAGTTAAAATGTAGACAATCGTATTTCTTACAAAAATTTGCATGAATAACAAACCACGTAACTATTAGTGAAACAATTTATAATTACCTAGATATGGTGTGAGTAAAGAACAACGGCTTCAGTCGCATCTACTAGCACATTATTTTACAACTATAAGATATGAAGCTTCAAATTTCTTAAATTAGGATTCCACGACAAATAGTAAAAATGAACCATTACAATATCACCTTCCAAGTTGCAGCGTTCCTTCGGAAGTATGCAAATGTTTCCGTGAACCACTGATAAATTTCGTTAAGTGTTAATTGGCAATCTTTGGACTCCATAATAGCCTCGCGTATAAGAGATGCATATGTATATGGTGGACGAACATCATGTGTTCGATAAAATTCGCGGTTTCGTGCAATATCGGTTGAAATATGTAAAACAACTTTGTCGTTGATTTTCCGCCGTGGTGTTGGAGTCGCACGATGATGACACTGCTGGGACTGTTGTTGTTGTTGCCGTTGCTCTTGCTCTTGTTGCTGTTGTTGTGAACCTTCAACGTTTGACACACTTGGTAATGACAATGCCGTGATTGTTTGCTGCTGAAAAAACAATCTTAGCAAACTTCTTACTCGATTTCAAAATTCAATATGTACCTTTTATCTAATATTAAGAGTACTCAATTAATTCCAAATTCATTTGCAAGGAAAAATGAATGTTATTTTCCGCCAAACCTGGAGTAATTCGATTAAATAAAATTCAGTCGGATAACAAAAGTCACCAACTTTAATCAAACATCCAATAAACATGAATTCGGAGCTTCCTGTCAATATGTTCTTTCCGATTAATATTACGGAAAGGCAACAAATTCTGTACTTATTTACCTGCTAATTAATTCACAGATTTTTACTTTTCTGCTGTTGGTGTGAAGCTAACGAGATGTAAAGTAGTTTTTGAGCATTATCTGAGTTTAGTACACTTATCAGATTAACTGATCTTCTACAAATTAATGTGAACTTGAGGACTGTAATTAACACATATTACTTAACCCAACAGCAACAGAACCCAATAATTTCAAATCACTGAATTAACAGTACCACCAGCAACAGGATTCGATTCTCTGTATCCAAGGAAGGACAAGTTTTTGTAAAGTTCAGAAAGCTGAAAGAAATATGTCGATGTGGAAGACCAACCTGATCGGGCAGAGATTCAGCTTTTGTCTCTGCAAGTGTTGGTGATGGGATGGATGTTGAATCTTGTGACTGCTGCAACGTGCCTAATGTTGGTGTAGTGGTATCAGGTGATTGTTTCATGTGTAAGTGTTGCATCATAGCCTGCAAGCGAGTACGCTCCCTGTTGAGCCTATGTTCTAGGTTATCCACTACCTCGATTTGAGCTCGACACTGCTGAGCGGATCGTTCGTCGAGCGTATGCACCGTTGCCAAATGATGCAAAAATGTGGCGAAATTTTCACATGGCTGGTCACATTGTGGCCAAATGCAGAGATTATGCTGAAAGTAAAAAAAAAAATTCGACCAGATGTTGCAAAGGAACCGCCAGCACACCAAGCAATTTTTACATTTATTAACGGTCCCGTACAGCTCACAACTATGTATCCCTTCCTTGTTACACCAATTTTCTTAGCATGCTCTCGGAAATTTATCTTATCCTGCTTCTGCATTACCTACAAAACATTGAAGTCCATTCTCGCGGTTGCCCCTTTTGTAGAGATTATAGTAGTATAAAGCTGATCTCAAGTAAACAGAAGATACACGCTTATTTAAAAAAATTCTTCATGAATGTTTGTGATAATCTACTGCACCAACTGAAGAACGAAATCATCCTAAAATCAGTTGTCACTCATTTCCCAGAACTGAAAAGAGAGTTAATGAATGAAAACATTCAAATATTTCATGCCGAAAAATTTTCAGCTTCTGTTACGTCATTTAAATGTCATATTCTATAGCATCAATTTATTAAACTCTATTCACATTGATTCGTAGTGGTTTGGAAGAAAGTTCGCAAGGTAAGAGAATGAAAGTCATTCCAGAAACTGAATGGCTAGTTCATGAGTAAAAATAAATGGATATGCAAGAGTAACCGAGAGGACGCTGGGTATTGAATGAGATGAAAAGAGAAGCACATGCAGCGGCAAACATTTGAAAAAAAAAAGCATAAATACACATACATACATACATACACACATAGTTTTTGCAATAATCTTGGGAACAAACTTTTTTTCCTTAAGATAAACTCTTCGATCAATCTTCTCCTCGCCTTTTTGTGTATCCCTTTCTTTCATTTGAGATGCTGATATTCAGAATGAATCCTTGTTCTTGCAATAAATGTAAAGTGGCGATTTTGTTTGATTTTCATTTTTCCAGATTTTCTTTCGATCTAATCCAGATAAGCAGTCCATGAAATGGCTCCAAAATTTTGATAGACAAATACAGCAGCACTTCTGCTTTCAGAGACTTTCCCGAAATTTTGAAAATGTGATTATTGTAACACAGTGTGAATTACTCATTAAAACTTCCGAGAAAGCACTTGACATATATGATTGCGCGCGGATATCCAGGGAAGTTCGAGTGGAATTCTGAACTATTCACTAAACAAGAAAGCCCTGCTTTCTGATCATTTAAGGATTTTAGCTAATTTCCTGCTTAATATGGGCTAACTTAACAAATATTATGTGCGAGCAATGGAATTAATCGCTTTCACTTGAGCATGGAAGTGAACCCTCCAACTATCTATAAACAAATTGAAAAATGAAACTTTATTGAAACTCCAAATACCATATTTTGGTAGTGATTTACCTCCCTATGCTCTTTTTGTCATTACTCTAGCAATGTAGTCTATTAGATGAATTGCACAGTCGCAGAGAATCTAATGTTTATAAAATTGTTCTTTTTCGTAATTTTTACTACACTCCAAATAAGCAATACAATAGGAGTTAAAAAATGACTTCGTTTTATTTTACATCTCTATTTGTTTATTAATTTTACGTAAAAGAAAAAAAAAGGAAGAACGAAGAAGAATTTTTCATGGTATAATGTAGCGTAGAATTCATCTAACATTCTTCCACTCTTTTTCATCCGTTTCGAATGCTTCACACCGTTATTCATTTCAATCATCGCCATAACTATACACCTCCTACCAATTTATTGAATAAGTTATATTGCAGTACCCATCTTAAACCTGCATTTTGTTTTTCTAGAAGTGTTTGCTGTTTTGCAATTTTTCTCTTGCTCTTCTAATAAAACAAATAATATCAGCTACAATAATTCCTTCTTCTACTTGCTTAATATTCCCTCTAATACTTACATCATTATAATTATTATACTATCAAGATATGATCATCATTACCATACTATACAACCTCAATATGACCACTAAAATACCATGTTTATTCCCATTATTTTTATTAATACTATTAATATTATTCATACCAACATTTCCATCACTGTATTATCCTCAGTAAAAATTGATATCATTCACATCATCACCATTAGCATGTAATACACAGTGCTGAATAATGCTAAACTTAAAAGAAAAGGATCCAGTGATAGGTTATCATGGTAACTCCCACTAGCGAAAATGTTGGAAAGATCAGGTTTGTATCTCAAATCGTCAACACATTTCAAAACTGTTAAGAAGATAAATTCCAGCCAAGTGAGGAACAAATGTTTACGACCTTCAGAATAAACCGACAAGGAGGATCGGTTAGAAAGAAGTGTAGAAGAACGTAGAAAGGAGGCGGACTATAGATGTGTGTAAAATCTGTACATATATTTCACAACCGAATGTGCCTGTTTAGTTCATTTACGCTACTTCCCCTCTTCGTATATTGTTATTGTTTACTAATCAAGTAAAGACAATCCCTATGCGTCTATATGATAAACAGTAACCGTTCGATCTCTTCTACTGTCATAATTTAACCTCTTCTCCATCTTTAAAATATGCAAGAATTGTTGTCACTCGTCTATTTGTCTCAAAATATGTATAAATGTTGAACAATCACAATGCTTCCCTATATTTCCGTTCACTTCACATCTAATAGAAACCATGTGATTTCCACCAATCACAATTTCATATCTAATTATTACGTATTAAGAGTACCAAAGTAATATACAAAAAGGACGAATCTTTAAGGACAGAAACCGATCACATATAGTTATGATTTTAGTACATCAGTTCTTTCCTTGGATTGTGTGTTGTGTACTTATTTACTGGCATTATAAAAATATGGATGAATAAATACGATTTAATGTTATATAAAAAAAGCTAAGAAACTGTCTATCAGGTGATACTGCAATTAAATTTGAAAAAGTGATGCAAGGAGAATGTGACTAATGCATTTAAAGGAAAAGGAAATATAATATCTGAAGGTTACGGTAATAATTCCTTGTTAATTGCTTATTTAGGACTTCTTTAAACTTACTTATACCGATAAACTGGAATTAGGAGGACAAAAATGTAAAACAGCATGAATATATATGGAATAAGTAAATACAAAAGTTCTACATGTTCTGGAACAATTTTGACATCGTTTTAGCATTGAGAAAAAATATCGAAAGTGAATCTAATTTCCTCGAAAATTTTAATTTCATCCCTTTAAATTTGAGTTTCTCAATGTTAAATCACCTGTTCTCTCCCTGAAGCAATTCTAAGTGACCATATACCCCACAAAAGTATTTGACAACTGGAACATGAGATCTTAATAAATTCATGACGAGATGAGGATGATAGCAGCACTTTAATTATATATTTAAGTGTAAGAAAAACCCGAGAACGATCAATCCTACAACAAATTCCTACCTCCCAGAGATAAATAATGAGCAAAAGTCAGAGATCAGCGACAAATTTTGATGCATATATTTACCAGCTGTATACGCTCGTTTGTTATGACCATCTATTAGAAGGAAAGCAAGAAAGAGGATGAGTAGATCAGGAGCTAGGAGAGCACAAGAAATGTTTGGGACGATGATGCAACTATCTCGTTGGTGATACTGAGTCATGAAGAGCAAGATTATTTATTACTACTCGTATAAGGTGCTTCCTGAAAGTCGAAAACTTTTCAAAAATTAAAATACCAACTAACCTGGTACAGTGGGTGCATTAAAGCTTGGCTGGTACCCGGTAAAGCTGTTAAGTCCAGTGGTGGTAATAAAGCTGGCAGGCCAAGCATCATATTTTGCCAAATCCGTTGAAGTTCTGTTTGAGGTCGCAGCTGCTGAGCCAAGCGTTCGTGTAATGCCAGCAAAAACATTTGCTCAGCCTTGGTAAAAAAACCATACTTACGGAGAAGCACTACCCATTTTCTTCCTACATTTTTTCCTTATGGCATATCCGCATATCATTTTAACTTAGAAAATTACCACATTTTGGAAAAGTGCATATAGGAAAATGACTCTCCATACGATCATATTCGGCGGTAAGATCCTACTTTTAAAAATGTGACAATCCATAATGCCCAAAGAAATGAAAATAGTATAGCGTTATGCTAGAAGTAAAATACGTAAAGTACCCGCCAACCTGTGTTTGTTCATTGTGTTGCATCGCGTTTAACTCGTGAGTTAGGATGTCTTGACTTGGATTATTGTTGGTTGAAATATTTGGTGACCCCTGGAAAGAGATGGAGTTGTTTAGATTAAATTTAGTTGATTCGTCATGCAATCATAAACTGATTCGTCCATCCTCGTTTCTAAAAGGAGATACTCTTCCCCTTTTCTCTTGTTTTCCCCGTGTTAGACTCATTAAAGCAACTCTGCCATGAGATACCGTGAAAGTTACAGCATTCCCAACACCTTTTCTGAAATTTAAATTTTCAAGAATTGAACTCCAACTTTCACGCAGTTTCTCGTCCCACATGCAGTCGGTGACTATGCAGTGACTTAATTTTAGAATCCGGTAAAGATACTAAAAAGAAAATCTTCATAAAGACAAAAAGGCACTTCCGGTGTCAGTGTAATGTAATGCTTATATGAGAACTCGTCAAAAACTACCAGTAGTTCTCATTATGGAAAAAGGTCTGGCTGAGGGGCCGCCTTTTCTTTTTTATTGCTAAGTAAAAAACGAACCGATTGTTCCATGGAGAGCGGGCGGGCAGAGATACGGGGATCGGAGGGGGCAGCTGCGCTTTGCACAAACTCACTTGGCGAATGCAGCAGCAGCAGCAACAACAGCAGCAGCAGCACAAGCAGCAGTGCAATAGGCTCACAAGCCTTGTTTACTCCCTGTTTACCCTTCAACCTCCTCCTCCCCCCCGTCGTCCAAATGTAAACAGATGAGTGTTCATGCTACACTGCCATACGTCAGACAATCCTCCGTAGTGCTGGAGAAGGGACAAGGGGATGCCACTCCCTGCATGTTCGTTTCTCCCTTAACTCCCCCGACCCCAGCAGTAAAATAAGCAGTAGGGGGCACCACCATAAGTAATATAGCATTCTGTGTCCGTATGTGCATGTATGTGCAAGTATGTGCAGATGTGTGTGCATCTTTATCGTGTACCCATTAACATGTCGGTAAGAAACGTGCATGCGTGTTCCCTGCGTGTATTTTTCCAAATGCGTGTATTCATCAGTTCTCATTTTGCCGCGCTGCTATTACCTATTCCAACTCCAGTTTGTCAACAGTCCGTTCATCAGCCGCCCACACACACACACATAAACACATACACACACAGATACATCAAATACGTGTGTACACAAGTCTGTTATCTATGTGTACCGTTGTCTATGGATCCTTCATAAACATTTCCGAACAAATAACATAATTACTTCTTACCTTTCCCTTTCAAGTATTTTGTTGGAATAAAAATTGTCCTTTATAGGAAGAAAAAAAAAAGGAAAATAAACCGTATGGATGGCGATAAGGGATGAATCACTCAGTTTAGCAAATGTTGTGTTGTTCTTGATGCTAGAACGATAGTTGATGGATGTCACGAAATTCCGGTAGAAGTTGAGTAAATAATTAAATCCAGATCCAAGTGAATGTTGCTTCCTGAAGCGTTAAGAGAGATGATGGCAGACAGAAATGAAGATATAAACAGAGGCCACGATAAAAATAGGAAAGTGTGGATCAGTATTTCATACGTGAAAGTCAGGAGTTGAGGGGAGAAGACGATATTTACTCCACTGATGCTAGTGAATGTGCTCGAAGTTGTTATCCGAAGAATTAGGAAAACATATAAAATATAAAAAAGCAACGACAGGACGATTACCATAGTACAAAATGCATAGGACATATGCTGAAAAATAAACCTTACAACTTTTAGACTATCTCAAGAAGTACTCCAGAAAGGAGGGATTCCGAATCCGGTGGATAAGACGGCGATATCAGTGGCAGTTCTTAAGGATCATGAAGTTGGTCGGGACGAAAAGCACAAGATGACGCTAGCTGCTTGACGAGTTATTTGCTGTTGTTGTTGTTGTCGTTGTTGCCTCCTTTTCACTCAATAACTGTTACTTGTTACCCATTTGTTTACTCCTCTCTTTTCCTGCTTCCTCTCTTTCTTATCATATTTCTGTGTTATGTCTCACTATTGTCATGCGCCACATACAAATTACGCGACGACATCACCAATAGCAGCACAACAACAATAACAATGATAATAACAACTAATACCCAACAATTCAATACGTGCTTATAACTCTCATTTCATCCTAAACAACACATTATGTCACCAGGTGTGTAGTTCCTCCATTTAGTATATAGGGTCACATGACTTCCTTTTCGTAAACAAAAAATTAGATTCACTATACTCCATAAATCAAAACTAGAGTTGTACTAGACATTGCATTGTGAACAAGACACTCCAACACTTATTTATTCATCAAATTTATTTTAGATCAGAGCGAATATCACGGTATGCCATGCCTGCTAAAGCTGCCATCTCCGATGAAAATCCCCGCATAACAACAATGCTTCAGGCATCCAAGCCGCAGTACTTTTTCATTTAGTGGCATTAACAGTTTCATTTGATGGGAATGAAACCTGCACGATATAATAACAAAAACTGGCGACCTTTTAATAAAAGGGTGTAAGTTTTATTGGAAAGTTTCTCTCGTCGCTTCTTTAGTTATTATTTGCTCAATGAGGCAACATTCACCAACTTGTTGTTTAACAAACCACATTTCCCTGTTTGCTAACTGGATGACAATACGCATTGATCATTTCACGTAATACGTCATGCTTACAGAAAGAAGAAATGTCAAGAAGACAATAAAAGTGTGGGGAAGGGAGGGACGATGACAATGAAGCAAACAAGCCAACCGCGTAATCAACATCAAAACAGCAACAGCAGGTGGAGTAGTATCATGTAATCATGGGTGGTCTTGTTTATTTAGTACAGCAAAATGAACACCGCCCCATTTTACCTATGTGTGTATGTTGTGCTGTGCTGTGCTATCTACTATTTCCTGTTTGTCTCCTTTTTTTGCCTCACTTTTTTCGTTGCTCCAGTAGCGTAGCTGTCACTAGCCGAGACTTCACATCAACCTGAATGCTGTAAATAACTTGTTTGCATAACAGAACAGTTTGCTTGATAATAGTTAGTAATGATAATTGCAGTCAAAAAGCTCTTGCTTTGATAGGGGCATTGCCACCCCCCTTATCACTCACTTTTCTAAATGATAGTCTCCCAAATCTCCCAATGACTCCGAAAGGCATCATGAAGATGAATAATGAATAACATAACTAAACAAAAAGTGAAACATAGGAGAAGGAATATGCTTTAACGGTAACAGTAATCATGAAAATAATGGTCATGATATTGATGGATATAACCATATGGATTATGATAGAAGTGGTGTATTACTGTCCATATCGCTGATAGTGAATAATAGTAAGCTTCATTTCACATTTCAGTCTTCCCATTGTCTGATTAGTATATTACAAAGTTTTCTTTGTATCTGCAGCGACTGGCCGTCACTGTAATGGTCGCTATCACACAAAGATATGTTGTTACATAAAAACAACCTGATAAAATGGTCGATTTATGCGCTCATTTCGTGATTCCTGATAAGAAATTCTCATTATTCAGCAAAATCTGAGATGATCTTGCCAAGGCTCCAAAAAGAATAATACACTGACAGTCAAATTTTGAAGAAATCTCCTCCTGTCTTTTCATTGCTAATAGGTGATTGTGTCTTTATTCAGTAAGTCCTTATATTTATCATGAAAGTAATGCATGCCCTAAAACATTTGAAGAAATAACACATTTCCTTTCTACCGTTTTATCAAAAGTTGTTATTCCTTTAGCTTTCAAGTCCATATGTTATCATAATTATCCACGAGTTTGACACTTTATTTTAAATAGTTAGTAGTCACTTTTTGGAACAAATAAAGAAACAGCGAATTTGCTCTTGTTGTAACGTGGGGAAATTTCGTGTGTCACACTAGCTCATTCTTACTCTCAATGTTGACTAGCATGGTTCTCTTTTTACAATCTGCTAACACCTTTTGTTTTATAAATAAGCCGGATCCTATTTTCTTGGTGTCATAGCTTACTCGATACCAAAAGATGTGGAAGAAAAGATATGTTTTAGGAAAGTTGGTCGATTTACCTATCTTTTTAATTAGAAATATGCGTATAGTTTCCTGTTTGCCAGAAAGTTTTACTCTTGTCCGGACAAGCTGGAATGTTCCTAAAATTTTAAAAGAAACAATTTCCATCTCGAGAACTCTCTAAAATAGACAAGCGAGATTTTTCTATTGTAATGATTTTTCACTACTGCAAAGGCCTTTATTCATCGCTGTGGTTAGATAGTTTAGAAATATATGGCTTTCTAGTAGGTTTTGTTCGCTCCATTTTTTTCATTGTTGTGATGAAGCGAAGTAGTTGAAAAGGGAACAGAACTAGAAATAAGTAACCATCCTTTGCTGCTTTCAAGCGGTTCGTAATTTCCCGACCAAAAAATGAAAATATATGAATTAAAGTAACGACGTAATAACAGAGTTTTGGGATTATACGTTTGTTACGTGGTTAAAAGACGCTTTGAATACTACTACTGCAATCGTTGTTCACATGTCGAATAATAAAGACGCAGAGAAACAAGGCCTTTCTATACTAACATAGTCCATTATAATAGTTATAAATCATGAAACTGAACTGTTACTGAAATAGCATTTCTAAATTCCTTCAATACTAATGGGAAGTAGGACAAATTCATACGTTAACATTTACGGTATTTATAAAGCATTGTGTTCACCCTATAGGTGATGGTACCGTAGTAGGGACGGGAAAACTTATTGATCTCGATATCGCGTTACAGTATGGAAAAGGATGATCAGTAGCGCGAGACGTATTCTCAGAAATTCTAACTGTCATGGGTTATTTGGCTAAATCCTGATGATTCGAGGCAGCGATAATCTGAGTAATGGAGTGATTGAATTGAAACGTTAGGTGGCTGATACCATAAACCGTATCCTGTATTTCCCAACATCCGGTTTGTTGTTGTCAGTGTTTGCCTGCATCGAGCTTCTCATGATATTGATGATATTGATGGTAGCATTGTTATTATATCTCCCTCCACATATTTAACTCTTTTACCTTCCCTTTCTCTTGCATTACCGACTGTGGCGTTAGCAAATACTAATTATGCAGAAGGATAACCATTTCGGATTCCAGAAAGAGTGGAAACACTTCGAAACCAAGAATCTTATTATTGAACAATAAAAATGGTAGTGGGAGGCAATCACATACTGGAAATCTTGAAATATGATTCTTCAAGAATTATAATACACAGTATTTAAGACATTAGCATGGATTAACAGTTAAAAATGGTAGTGGGAGGCTGGCATGAGCGAAAGATATACTTGAAGTAATTAAAGTCTGTACAAAGTAGTAAGGCATTTTCCCCTAAAGTATGATTGTTCTATTCTAGGATAATCACATTCCTTTCGGTCTCAACAGTCAACAAGTTCGACCGGAAAAAAAAAGAACAATAAACATAAAATAACGTTTCGCACTTGAGCTTCGCATGTAATGAATTTAAAGCAGGTTCGAACTATCGGAAAATGTGAAACCAACTTTTCTATTAATGCTGTGTATAAGAATAAGAAAAATGTACTTCGCAACATGGCAGAACATCTGTTGAACATATAACGGATATGACCTGTCATCACAAATAATAAAGCGGGAATGTCCTACAGAGTAAAGGCAACCAAGTGAGTGAATGACAAGATACAGCGCCCTATGTGTAGGTGGAAGTGTTCCAACATTCTCTGATGATTATGAAGTAAAATCCGTGAATATATTTAAAAAAGATGGAATTTGGAGCAGACGATACAACCTTTCACGTCAAGCCCAGCTGTAGTTCTGGTTTCTAGAAAACAAACGAAGCATGTTGCATTGTATCTGCGTCCTTGCTTTATTGCGTTCATTTGCAAAATTTACAAGGCTTGTTTTGAAGTGACTCATGTTTTGTCGTGTTAACATTTACTAATCACCAAAACAGAAATCACTATAGAACATTTTGGTGTGCAGACCAGGACTTGGAAGAAATCAGAATAGCGGAACACTGTTAATATCAGTAAGCGATCGAAGATTTCTTCTACCTGGTAGCATCAGAAATTTTAGAAGGTTGATTAGAAGCTCAAAGCTAAGAACCTTCAAACTTGAATCAGCGGAGAGACAGAAAATTGGGACAGTATCGCTTATACAAATATAATGCAAAACCTAATAAGAACTCGGCAATTCGAAGCTAAGTCAAGTATCACTAGTTTGGTTTGCTTCAAACCATGATTTTAAAAACTGCAATTACTTCAGTTTCATGACAATTGTCGCAGTAGCCTAAATTTTCGCTTATTTAACAGCGGGTTTTAAAAATCCTTCATTTCGGAAAATTTAGGTAGAGAGTTTCAATTATTAGGAGGACAGCTGAAAAATTGATAGTCACTAGGTTGAAGCTAAATAAATCGGGAAAATGTCACCATGTCACAAGAAATGATTAAAAACTCATGGGAAAAAAATAACTCTTGGAGGAAGCCTAAAATTTTAATTGTAAGAACAGGAAGGTTTTCCTTTGCTAGTGATTCTAGAATTTATTTTGGTAAGTAAACACTACCTAGCACATAATGCAAGCAAATCAACGGTCCTTCATATTATTAAAATTCCTCAGACTTAATACAAATTTACTCACACAATACACAGAAACATTTAAACTTCATTTGAGCGAGAACATCATAGATGAAGAGAAGAGATAATTTTCTACTTATCTTATTAATAGAAACTAAATTTTCACAAAAACTTTCGATTATCTCATAACTTATTGCATCCGAATAGAAGAGCTAACTGTTCTGTAAGACTTTTAAAAGATTAGGAGAGATAATTTAGGTCTGAAGTAATCAAGGAAAGAATACAACTTTTTTCTTTAACATCTTGGAGTTTCTGATAACTTACTGGCCAAAATCTTTATCAACTACTTACGTTAATATATTGTCTAGTGCGATTTTCTGTCAGAAGAATCGGTCTATTTAGACATACTTTAGACATAGTCATTGAAGATCTGGAAATGCATAATTATACACAGTGCCAAAAGTACACAGTTACATTTGTGACCACACCATGAAAAGGAAGATTTTGCTTGGAAAATAAGAGGCATAATAAAGATAGCCATAGGTAAACAGGATCAAATCCGTTTCGGAAAAAAAAGGAAATGCAAATGAAAGAAAATAATCTTATGTGTCCACACAAAATAACAAAATTGAAAATCGAACGTGAGGAACAAAACGTTCGAAATCTGAAAAGTCAGGAGGTATCAAAAATCTTGGCAGTAATATGAAGACTGAAACAAATTATTGATTGGTGTTTCTTTCCATTTTCTATAATAGCAATATTATTGTTATAGCTGAGGTGTATTACAGAATCAAAAAGGAAGTGACACAATCAACTGTAGAGAGATTGGCTGGATTGGGTTTGTATCAGAATTCATCAGGAAGAGAGCTAATCTTACATGAATTATTCAACTGATAGAGTGAAAAGTGATTTATTGCAAGAGCTGAAATGGTTGTTGAGAACTTCTCCTGCGGATCTCCAAGGTAGCGTAAATTCTTAAGGGACCACAGTTAAGTACCAATTCACTGTTATTTATTGCTATTCGAAATTCAGGTTCATCACTTTTAAGCTATTTAAATTGCTATGTTTTATTAAAATCGACTAGACTACATAATGCGATTGTTTGATCAAAGAAGATATAATTTTGCTGAACAGCTTGAGAAATTTGGTAGCGATAAGATAGGTAGGTGCCTTTATTTATGTAAATAGAATCATAACCATGAACTGCAACAGTTTTACAATATTCGGTTCAGATCAAGTAATGACTTTAAAATGTCGCTGATCAGTTTTTAACGTTCAGTTATTCCTCATCATTTATTTTAGCAAAAATTAATAAACATAGCTTGTTTGGAGGCCATTTATGCTGCTTTTCTATTATCAAACATTAATTGCTGAAAAAACAGCTGATGATATACAAACTAAGAGAAGACAAAACTTACCTCTTTTTAATATGAAACGGAAAGTTCAAATAGAATATAAACATCACTATACAACCACCAAGAACATCAGTCCTAAAGGTTAGTGAATCGAACGTCGACCATGTAGCATTATGCATCGAAATACAGCCAAATAGAAAAGTGAAAACTCAAAATACAGCTGGAGCATTCACGGAAGACAGATTGCTTAAGGAAATATATGTACATCCCACTTATTGAACTGCGTATAGCGAGTCTCTTAGCCGTGAAAAAGACGGCTTACAAATAATCAATGCCAAGTTTCTCTTCAAGTGCAAAACGTGCAGCAGCTTTTCTGAAAATATCCGTATGAAGCTATCGAATCTGCGTATTATATATTCTGTTGTTTACGTGATTGCCACTTATTACAGTTAGCTTTCTTTCTCGATCACGTTTCTGCATAACTTATATCACAAACATTAAAATGTTGTTGCAATTTATTCGATCAGGATATCTGTAATGTTACAGCTGTTATTTAACTGTCATTTCATAGCTCTTTAAATATATTTCAAATGAAATTGGCTTGTATTTCCTTCATGGCGCAAGCACCATAGCTAGCTACCCTATCAGTTTTTAGGTTGAATTCTTCACACGTTTGCTTTGGTCATGCTTTAGACTGACTATCTATCACTTTTGCGGAGAGCACTACTTTAGTATATATGATATCCCTATGGATTATATATTTTAAATTGTTTATTTCACTGCACTTCTCAAATATATTTTTTTTAAATTTTTTAAATTGTTTATTTCACTGCACTTCTCAATAGCTAAGCATACAGCAGTTATTTGAGAATTAAGTGTTCGAAGGTTTATTCGTAAAACCATGAAATACTAGAGCTTCCAAATCAAGTGTTTATTGAAGTAACACCAGCATCTTGTCGATTACATTTAATATTGTGTTGTTGTCAATATTTTTCTTTTGATCTACGATTTGTCAGTGTTTATACTGCTTACTGTATTATCTTTGCAATAGTAGTTTAATTACGAAGAACTCCTTGTTCATTTAGTAGAAATGAGTCAATCATCAACTGATTGCTTGGAAATATCATTTATTCATTTCGTTATCAGTGATTTTAAATTAATATTTATTAAAAATGAGAATTTTTAACTAGTTATTCATTTGTCCGCGTTGTTCTCCCTATTCCTCCTTTCTTTTTTGAACTGGAACTTCGCTACAAGTTTGAAACAATACTTTTTTTTTGGAGTAATAGTGACAGAATATCCTCCTCCCGAAAGTCTTCTCGCCTTGTAAAAGTCTCACCATACATACCAATTATAAATAATCGATGGAAATCACTAGAATGCTTTCATGATTCGCAGTTAATAAAGCTTTTGTTTCTTTATGGTATTTCAAGTTTAACCATCAATTGTCCTGTTAAAAGCATAAACAAATATTTTACACGAAATGTCACTGTACAAATTTTTTTTTCATCTTTCCAATGTTCAAAAGAAATTGTTTTCTTCAGTGCTGCATAGTAAAAGCTATTAGTTTGAGATATTCTTTGTTATGATATCGTTCGTTATTCATTTCTCCAATTTTCTTCGTTTTCAGTTCATTATTTTTATATCACAAAATTATGTCACTTCGCAATCCACTATATTCCATATTCGCTGACATATGACTGCTGAATAACTACTGTGCATGTTAGATTTCTTTTGCTTTGGTCTTCCATATAAATTACCACTTTAGAACGACTGATTGATCTTAACTTCATCCTCCAACCTGAATTTTCATCTTGAACATATGCCCGTTCAATTATCTTAAGCATTGTTAATGAGCGGGTTGTTGATGTATTTATTCGAACTTGTAACCGTACTTCTACCCTCCTCAATCAAAAAAGTTCATCTACTCACTGATGCTATTCTTAGATGTGGAATATTTAATTGTTGTCAACTCGATCCACTATTTTTCGGACACAGATCCAACTCATGTGTTTTCGTTGAACAACACCACATCTGCCAAAATTGATGTTAATTCCTTGAGTCTGTTTTCAATAGTAATTCGCCAGCTATTACTTCGGAAAAAAACGAATTATAATATTAATAACAATAATGATATGAAATAAAATTATACTAATCTATAAGACTAAGGATTGCCTTGATTGAATAATGTTTAGAGAAGTGTTTCAATGAGGAAATCCTTTATCCAGTACTCATCTGCATTGTTTGGAATTTTACAGTTTATTTTCCGAATTTTACTAGCATGATCTTTTTATCGTGAAACTTAAAGCGTCTGATTCTTGTAGCTAGAGTTGAGGTGACATGAGTGAAATGCATTGAGTGGAAGGGTCTATTGTAACGATTTTATTCGCTAGCAATCTCTTCTTCAGATTTCTCAATTTTTTCTAGTATTATTTAGTAACTTTGATTGACGATAATCTTTATCCCAATAAAATAAGGTTTCAAACATTGCCTTCTTTGCAAAACACTCTTTATATGGCTCCACAACTCGAATCAGACCTTATTTCGTGACGAAGTTATTTGATGCCTGAGGTCTGAAACTTTGATAAAAGGAGTCGAAATACCAAAATCAAAGATTCGAAAACTCAGTGAAGTAAACAAACTCGATCTAAATTAAACACTTCCACAAGAGTTTAAACGATAATACGAAATCAAATTATGTATCATCAAAGAAACAGTCGGACGTTTTGATTATTATGCTGGTATGCTCGAAACAGTTATTCAAAAATGATCGGATCATGCACAGCATGGCAATCGCAAGATGAGGAAAGACAATACCCAAAAATGGTCGACGATCCACAAGGAAGAAACTATCATTACCTTGAAATTATAAAGCGGGGACATGAAATAATCAGCGACTAAGTAAAGAAGATCGGGAGAGTTAACCTCAAGTGGAAGAGATTCCACCAATCACGCAACAATAAACCCTCCACAATTACCATTGGTAACATTTAGTTGTGATTCAAAAGTGTGGAACAGTTTTGAAGCAGTTTCAACGCAGTAATTCATAATCATAACATTCCAGATACTCAGAAATTAAACTAGCTCATATCATGTCTTAAAGGCTGCTAGCAGTGAGAGGTTGCGGCATTACACCAGAAAATTATGAAGTCATACCAAACTAACGAAGTATGGTGAATCTTTCATTATAAAGAAGTCACTTCAGAATGAATTGTATCCCATCAGAAGAAAATTGTATTAATTTATAAAACTAAACATTATTTTAATTGAATATTCTTTAGGGAAATATAAAACTGTTTCAAATTGTATCACATATAAGCAATCATTGATCTAACGCTCATCTTCCAGTTCTAACTAAACTTATCTGCACTATCTAGAATTTTTCATTTGTTAAGAAAGAGTACATTGTTTAATATGTCAAGCATTACTCCTTTGTTCTAAACCAAATCTGTTTGGAGTATCGAAATATTACAAAGGTTTGTCAATCATTCTTATGAGCAATTGACAATGTTGAGACTCACCTCTTACTGTATAAAGAGTAAAGGTCATCTGATAGACAGCTCTTTATTCACTTTAATCATGCATTTGTTGTTTGCCAATGCTTACTGTATAAGAAGTTAAACCTTTATCTAAAACAGTTTTTTAGCATGAACAAGCTACAAATTGACTAATTCCGCTTCACTTCATATTCCTAATTATTAGTATATTGCCAATATAGATCAGTATTTATGTACAACGAATAAAATCGTTACGACAGACTCCTTCAGAACACGTTCGTTTATCCCAACTTCAAACTGCAACCAAGAAAAGTGTTCTATAACAAAGACTTAAATTTCTCGACAGTCGCTTCCAATTAAGGAATTGTCACCAAAGTGAAAAAAAGGAGTAACTTTTCCACTTCTAAAACTATTGTACTAGTCAGCCGTACAACTCCTCCAGTTTTTCCAGACTGGAAAAGAATCAGAGAATAATATTGAAGAAACGCATGACTCACTCTTAATCATGTCTATCTATTAGTATTTCCTGATTCAAGAAAAGAAAGGATAAAACACGTATTGCTGTTGTTATGATTTGTGATTAATTTCTCAATTCTGAAACAAAAAAATCTCGTCAGAATTCCAGAAAAGATATGAATCACAAATTCATAAAGTCGCAAGGGTTTCTTCCAACCTACAGAAACTTACAGCTTTCAACTAAAACAACATTTCCGCCGAATTATAATCTGAGTGCAACTGAATTATAATCTGAGCATAAATGAATTATAATCTGAGTGTAGCTGAATTGTAATCTAAGTAAAACTGAATTACAATCTGAGTATAACTGAATTACAATCTGAGTATGACTGAATTATAATCTGAGCATAAATGAATTATAATCTGAGTGTAACTGAATTATAATCTAAGTAAAACTGAATTACAATCTGAGTATAACTGAATTACAATCTGAGTATGACTGAATTATAATCTGAGTATAACCGAATTATAATCTGAGTGCAACTGAATTATAATCTGAGTATAACCGAACTATAATCTGAGTGTAACTGAATTATAATCTAAGTAAAACTGAATTACAATCTGAGTATAACTGAATTACAATCTGAGTATGACTGAATTATAATCTGAGTATAACCGAATTATAATCTGAGTGCAACTGAATTATAATCTGAATATAACCGAACTATAATCTGAGTGTAACTGAATTATAATCTGAGCATAAATGAATTATAATTTTGTACAATATATATATAATTTTGTACAATTTCAATTTATTTTTAAATGTGTATTGGTGCACCGTGTGCAGTGTTGATCGATGACTGGAAATGGTTACGGGCAAGGATCTCGAAATTTAGTAAAGGAAATGATGTAATAGTAGATCTTGTGGATATTGGTAACGACAATATTGTCAACATAGAGAATATTCGGCCTCTTCTAAAGGTTTTTGGACGTTTGCCTCCGCTTGCTTTGCGTTGTCGTATGAAAGGTATGGTTTTAGAAATAATATGAATATTTTTATAATATAAATTAATTTCAATTGTAAGAATGAATTAGAACAGTGGCAAATTAAAAATTTAATTAATTTTGCTAAAAAAAATATTGATTAAAGAGAAGTTGAAATGCCTAAAAGTAAGGAGCGGAAACTTTCGGAGAAACGAGCATCTTTTCGTTTAACGGCAATAACGGTATAAATTTAAATTAAAGCAAAAAGTGTGGTGGTGAAATAAAAAAAAAAATAAAAACAGGTGAACTGGTAAAATTGTAATATTTATCACTTCGTTAGATTTAAATTTGTGCTTTTTTTTTCCATTTTATTTTTCTCGTTTTCCTCATTAATTTTTCAAATTTATCGATTTTTTATTTAATTTTAACTAAATGTTAAAACTGTTAAAAATCACAATTCGTGGATGTATGATACTCAGACAGTTATTCACAATTTATGGATGTATGATACTCAGACCGTTCTCACAATTCATGGATGTGTGTTACTCAAACCGTTATCACAACTCATGGATGTATGATCACAATTCATGGATATGTGATACTCAGACCGTTATTCACAATTTATGGATGTATGATACTCAGACCGTTCTCACAATTCATGGATGTGTGTTACTCAAACCGTTATCACAACTCATGGATGTATGATCACAATTCATGGATATGTGATACTCAGACAGTTATTCACAATTTATGGATGTATGATACTCAGACCGTTCTCACAATTCATGGATGTGTGTTACTCAAACCGTTATCACAACTCATGGATGTATGATCACAATTCATGGATATGTGATACTCAGACCGTTATTCACAATTTATGGATGTAAGATGCTGAGAGCGTTATTCTCAATTCATGGATGTGTGTTACTCAGACCGTACTGGACTGTGTTTACAGTGAAATAAAACTTCGATATTAACCAGTCCTTCCTAATGACTGCTTGATTTTCTTTAAAATTCAACTTTTTAAAAATTGAATTGGTTCAGATCTTTTTTATGGATTACTGCTTAAAAAAACACTTTCAATTTTCAGATAAAACAGGGGGAAAAAATAGTAGATAAAACACATGGAAAAACTTCAGATTGGAAGGTAAAGGAATAAAAATAAAATAAGAATTATAAATTTATAAATTGATATCCCAATTCAGTTAAAGAAATAAAGTTAGACGAACCGTATAGCATGAATTTCCAAGCATCAACCAGCCTCCAACTCTACCATTTTCCCACACAACAGGATCATATAGAAAAGCAAAAGATAAAAAAAAAAGAAGTAACGAATGCCAAACTGCTAAACCGATCCATAATTATTTTCGGACTATTGTTTTCGCATCGTATCTGATTTCATATTATTTCTTCCGAATTCTCTCATGACTTCCCCTATGCCTTTACCTTTTGTCTAGTACTGCAGTCAATTTTTGTTGTCCTGCAGTTCTACAGAATGGGATGAATTAGTACTGTCCTTTTCCATTTTCTACGTGTCGTTGTAACTTGCTGCACCATGCTTCTTTCAGCTTCAGTTTAACATCCTCACAATTTGAACTTTAACTGACACCGAGTATCCAGGAAGTCCACCATTCCACGTGACTGTTCATTCATGGCGCCTTGTTGTTTGACGGGGAGTGATGGATGAACCATTTCGGACTTTTGGAGAAGCAGAATGAGATTGCAAAATGCATGCCCATTCCTCCAACATCGTGTCTTAGGCGAAAGGTCATGTAGTTGTTCACCTTGTAGATATTTGCTATTGTGGGATTATTAATTCCGGGATTATTAATTGCGTAAAGGTAGAAATTACGTTGCGTATCAACAGTAACAAAGTGGTACACTCATTCCCACCTTAGACCTGCCAAGTCAGTGGTGATAGATAAGTTGTCGGAAGGATGAAGGAAGGGGTGGCGACCTTTTCGTTCGGTCGTCCCACCCACTCCAACGATTTGTTACAAAAATCGATTTTCATTGAGTGTGTAGTGTTAGACACCGGCTCCTTGCACGGAAATATTGGTGCAAGCAGAATGATTAAGCGATGTATACCCGGGGTGCTGTTATGGTGGTTGCGGTTGCTCTTTACGAGATTCGGTAATGGGTTACCCAAGAATGACTGCCATCTTGCTTCATTTGGACTGTCGATCGATCTGGTACCACTGTGCAGGTCCACTTTCCATCATAATTAACTGAACATTTCCGTTGTAAAAGTTCACTTGTTTCAGTGCACTTATCATTGATTTTCTCCTCGATTTTACTAAGAATTAGTCTAATGAAAAATAGAAACAGTTATGGACTATTAGATGTTTCCCATTCATTTTGTTCTATGGTGTAATAAAGCATGCGGAGAAGATAATCAGTTGACGACGACTTCAGTCGATAAGCAAATTTATGTAAAGAGGTTTTGTTCTTTCATTTTCAAAGTGAATCATTTATGAATTGTTGGTAAAAATGTTTTTTATCAACGATATTCAGAGTGAATCATTTATGAGACTTGTTTTGTCTGGGATGTGATTAGGAATATATTCTGTAGTTTTCTTAAAACTTCGATAAGCTCATTGAAAGACGAAAGTAGCAAGAATGAAGTGGTCGTGTATACGCAAACTACTGAAGAACTGGGAAATACCAAAAAGCGCTCGTAGCTCTCCTACATATCGTTTATGAATGCTCTTAAATTTTCGCGAGTACATCTAACATTAGAATTATCTTTTGTATGATAACTGTTTTCCATTTTGGATTGGAAGTTTGCGGGAAAACGACTGTAAGGTATGCCTGTCTCATTGGAATTGTTGAAAAGTCAGGAAGATGGATATAGTTTGATGTTTGTAGGGATGAAGATGTATAGTGTAAGGTTGTGAAATATTGAACTTTTATGCTTTATTCAAATATATCATACTTTGAAGATCATAGAAGGTGGTTGAGCGATTGTTTTTTAGCAACGATAATAGGCGCGGTAGTATGGTCAGTTTTGAAGGACTCTCACCTGTGTTCTTATCTTACATATAGCTTATTGTTTGAGTGTTCTCATTTCTGTTTGTTAACAAACAGATATTTCCACTGTCGCAATGTGTAATTCTTGTAAGGTCTGTGTTTCTGTATGTTTTCTCAAAAATGAAATATCTTCATCACTTTTGGTAATTAAATTCACTTGTCTTGTTTTTGTTGGTTCTAAAAAAAATTTGTGCATAGCAAATATGTGCTTCTCACCTTTTTCATATTGTAATATTTTATGGAACTGCGAAGTTATTTTCTTCCACGTTCACAAATTAAAACTGTTTATAAGCATTATTTGACATTACAACGGTCCTATATTTTTGTTTATAAGTTCCGTTTCTGTATTTTTCTTTTGTGTCGAGATTTGACCATGCATCATCCATATTCAGGAACTGCTGAAAATTGATAACGAATTTATTGTACATCATTATGGACTAGCTGCTGCAATTTGGTGATACTTAAAGTCGGCATTTGTGTTGTAAGATTGTTCAGCCTTGATTGGTCGTGTTTTTCACTTTCATCGGTTTGTGAATCTATGGTTTACAACCGAACGACTTGAAATAACTTTGTAGAGGCCCGATTTATGGCAAGTTCTGTATTTTTATTTTTCAGATTATTTGATCAAAATGAGGATCGCACATCTATATTTTTCTAAGCACGTGAGCTTATCCTCATTCACTGCATCACAAGATTTCTGAACAATATTGCAGATTTTAGTTCTATTCGTAACTCACAATGAGATGAAGAGGGGCTACTGTTGTAAGAGAAATTCTGATGGCTTTTGAATTGCTCATAGGCAGTCCCTGGATTCTTTTTAAAAGAAAATGACTGCAGTAAGGTGTGAAAAGTCGAAAGCTACCTTATGCTTTCAGAGGACATTATAAATGTCGGAAAGTGAAGAATCGGAAATATGTAGCGTAGGTGTACATAGTGCTGGCATTTCTGTATCACGTGACACCGGTACCAAAGTCGATCTCATCCTCAGGTTCTCTTTTAATGATAACGTATACCAGCTTTAGTTGGGAAACACAGTAAATATGAAATCTTGAACTCATCTTTCTCCATGATAAGATTTCGAATTTATTTTGAGTTGAGTGAAAATGGTTCGTGCGTGGCTGTTGTTTTTTTACAGAAATTTAAAGATTCTTTATCTAGGGACTTGAAACGTTGAATGTGATTTGATCAAAAATAATGTTTTGAGATACTAAAGTTATACATTTGGTGGCGTAAATCATGGTGTTATCGCTTGTGAAGTGGAATTCTAATTGTAATGTAGTTGTATTTGTTTTTATTTGTTCAGAATCGGTGGCTTACGGAAGCGACGCAATTTTTTTGCATCACTTATAAGCGCCTTCAAGAAACCATCTGATCCTTCGAAAATGTGTGCAAATGCTACCTTTACTATGTTTAATTTAACACCTTCTTCATTACAATTTTCCATTGATGTACAAACTGAGCGGCGAGGAAGACGTAAAAAAGGCAATACAAACCGTGTAGATACTTATACATGCTTCATTCGGAAATTTCCAAGCAATGTGAATCCTGATTCAGCAGAGTTTGAGGTTAGTCTTTATATGGGCCTGTATTCCCATACATATTAAATAATGTATTCCCATTTATTTTGATTATTCGATTCAAAGGGCGTTCACCGGATTTTCCTTGCAAAAACTTGTACATCTATGATTGATCCTTTTAATATTATTTGAGAAGTCGAAACGAGTTTTTGTAAAAGTGTTTCCAAAATTTGTTTTCATTTCTTGCATTGCTAAGCAACACACACTTACTAGTTTTCTCACTAAAATAACAAGATAATGATGTTCAGTGGTTTATTAAATTTGAGGACATCTCATTTAGTAGCTCGTAGTTATTAAATCATTTCGCTAGAAATGAGATTTCACAAAAATGAAGGTACCATCTATTTTAAATTTTCATTTCACTCTTATAGGTAATGGAACCGACGAGTGGAAGCTGCTTTATTTTGTTGAGTCTAATGAAAATTGACAATTTGGCGATAAACTGGAAAGAATTTCAAGACACGAACGGGACTATAGACTTGTCTTCTGTTTAACTTTTTTTTTATTGTTTCCTTCAATGATTTTACGCATGTTGAATCTGTGGTTGATAATTTCATTATTTGCTGAACTAATTTAAGCTAGAACTAAAAGTGTTCTCGAAGCTTAACGGTTTTTTATTTTTCCTGCGAGGAATTTTATTTTAGAGAATGAAGTAGATCCGAATTAGCTATAAAAACATGAACTATAATTGCATGCAGTGTATCAGCTTCGTGTACTTGGCAAGCATTTTGATCTGCATTGAGATTATATAACCTTGAATTTTTCTGACATCATTTTATGGTACAGTCCACTTCATGCATTTTACACTAAGTGACTTTCCTTCTTCCAATTATATAAATGTCGTAATGTTTACGTAATTTACGTTAGGGAGTGGTTGTTTTATGCATAGTAAGGGTACGCTAATGTTTGACTTAAGATGATAGTATTGGAAAATAGACTGAAGTATTGTCAAATAAATTGGTGCCGATATGTTTGTTGTGTGTGACTGATATTATTTCTTTTGGGTTTCAAGACTGCCATTAACCATTTGTAAAGTTAAAGTTCAGTGTTAACAGCCCTTTGCATGCGCAGGACTTTTTTTGTTGAACTTTTGTTGAACTCAAATCTCGTTTATGCTGGGTATATGTATTTCTTTGGCAAAGCATAAAATTAGGCAATTACTCAACTGGGCAAGGTTTATTTTGCGAATGATTCTTCAGCTTTGAGCCTCTAATCAACCTTCTAAAATTTCTGATGCTACCAGGTAGAAGAAATCTTCGATCGCTTACTGATATTAACAGTGTTCCGCTATTCTGATTTCTTCCAAGTCCTGGTCTGCACACCAAAATGTTCTATAGTGATTTCTGTTTTGGTGATTAGTAAATGTTAACACGACAAAACATGAGTCACTTCAAAACAAGCCTTGTAAATTTTGCAAATGAACGCAATAAAGCAAGGACGCAGATACAATGCAACATGCTTCGTTTGTTTTCTAGAAACCAGAACTACAGCTGGGCTTGACGTGAAAGGTTGTATCGTCTGCTCCAAATTCCATCTTTTTTAAATATATTCACGGATTTTACTTCATAATCATCAGAGAATGTTGGAACACTTCCACCTACACATAGGGCGCTGTATCTTGTCATTCACTCACTTGGTTGCCTTTACTCTGTAGGACATTCCCGCTTTATTATTTGTGATGACAGGTCATATCCGTTATATGTTCAACAGATGTTCTGCCATGTTGCGAAGTACATTTTTCTTATTCTTATACACAGCATTAATAGAAAAGTTGGTTTCACATTTTCCGATAGTTCGAACCTGCTTTAAATTCATTACATGCGAAGCTTATTTATACCGTAGATATCCACTTATCGAAACTTATCATTATTCATAAATCAACTTCTTAGTAGTCGCCATTAAGATCACTCCATCTTAAGGAGAGTGGGGCATCCACTCTCCGACCCCATTTCCTAACAGTTAATACCAATGAACAAGTAGCTGGTGCTAAGGTACCTCTGGAACTAACGGTTTTCAACGTGGGTACGACCAGGGCCGAGCAATATCTGCGAAATAGAACGTAGGTCAAGCGTTTGCCGTTGAGTGTTATGCTTGTACGATGCGATGACTGAAGTTCTGCATGTGTTGTGAGGTGGGTAACTCGCGTTTTGTTGTGGCTAGGAAGAGACGTTTTCATCTAATATGCAGATGAATCTTCTGTTTGCGGTGGTTTGGTGGAAAAACGGGCACGGGCCTCGCATTGATTTATTCTTCGTATTTGTGATATTCATTTCTCTAGTTCATCCCCTTTGTTATTGGTAAGAAGCGGAACTTTTAGAGTGACATATACATTTTAAATGTTTTTTACTGAAGGACTTAGTAAATATAAAGCTAGTTGATGGAGGAGGAAAATTAGGTAGACATGGTACTCAGAAGGGGTAGTATTATTCATTTCAGTTATCTTTACATATATATATATATATATATATATATATATATTAAGACATTATTTGTAGTATGTAGCAGTGGTGAGGAGTAATTATTATTAAGATATAATTAGGTGATTAAGTGTAGCATGAGGTAAATGGGTGGGAGACTTTGTATAAATCCGATTTTGAGTGTTTTACTTCCAGTTTATTGCATGGTTTTCAAAAAAAAAAAACTCCTTTTCAAGAAGTTTTTAAGAAGGCTGCTCCTCAACATTTCAGGAATTATTTACTACATAAACATGAGGTATGTGTCAGCTTACATGTTGGCAGCGATGGGAGCCAAGCATCATGTAACAGCGAATGACATCGGAAATATTCTCGGATCAGTAGGTGTCGATTGCGAACATGATAAAGTTGAAGATGTTATTAAGAAAATGGAAGGGAAAACATTGGATGAATTGATAAGGGAAGGATCAAAGTACCTCGCATCAATATCAGCTGCACCGCCATGTATCGGTTCGCTCTTGTTTATAATTACGCATTGGGCTTATGTTTTTTTCTAAAAATTAGCTGCTCGACATACCTTTGGAGACCTCATAAAAAGATTTAATGATACTTCTTCAAGTCACTTATTAAGAAAGAATACATGCCTTCTAACCTGCTCATAAAATAGTTGGGAATGCTCATGGAACTTCTAGAATCATAGTATATATTTAACAGATGGTAAATTGGGAGTTTTTTTTTTTAAAACAGTGTTTACGGATCGCCTGGACTTAAGTAATTGGATTTTCAACTGCATTTAATTTTTGTAGGCATGAGTAGCATTGTATTGATATGTCTTCATTGATATTTTTTTGTATCAGGTGGTACACTTACTGCTAGTGCTGCTACTTCCCTCGCAGATAATAAAGATGCTGTCACAGCTTCATCAGCGAAGAAGGAGGAAAAGAAAGAGAAAGAGGAGGAGTCTGATGAAGATATGGGTTTCGGTCTTTTCGATTGATTCTTTTTCATTATCCTTGTTTTGTTATTTCAAAATTGATGTTTTATGAAGGAAAGAACATTAACATATATTTATGTGACTTACAACATGGCATCATATTTGAGAATCCCAGTAACCTAACAGAATTGGTTTCTCCGGATGATACCAGCTTCAAGTATTATATTCATAATTCATTAATTTATCAATCCCCATAATTAAAGCAGGTATGAGAACGGGAATTGTATTCTTCGTAATGCTTGCAAAAAAAAAAAAAAGAAAAAATTTGTGAAGGGACAGTACTATTTTTTGGTATTACTGAGAGTTCAAATATACTGTAGGGTGCTCACTTATTTTGTTAAGTGAAATTTAGTTGAAGTCTGAATAAAGGATGACAATGCGGTGCAGGTGGTGTTTGCTAGACCAAGTAATGCAGTTTAAAGCTGGAGATTATTGGCAGTGTTTTAATGATTTCCGTTGTTATGTCGTCTTCAAATCTGGCGAAATTTTTGGGCGAATATCGGAAATAGTCTCCGGATTGCTCCGTAATTGAAGTGGTAGTGCACATGGTGGCTTGTTTGTTTGAAATGTGCAGATATGCATATTCTTGTACGTGATTTAGATAGCACAGTGAATAATTGGGAGCTAGTTGACACTCTACATCGAAGGTTGTGATGGAAATGTGGATGTTGATGGTGTCAGTGTTGTGGTTTAGAAGGTCGTATAGTCCCTTATGTAGCTCTCATATTATTTCATGTCGCTTTGCTTATCTGACGCTTTCTTGTTTTGAAGAGATGCGTGAGAAATATTCATATCATGCCTGAAAGAAAGACAGGTACGATTAATGGAATCTGTGGAAATGGGGATGTAGTCTCCGGAAAAAATGAGGAAATTTTGGAATTTATCCCCGACTAGATTGTTTACAATTATAAGCTCATTTAATTCACCTCTTTTATTGTTTACCGGTTCCTTACTAACAGTAAATTAGAATTTCACAAGGTTCGTCTAGCTGACCTCCTTTGTGGTTTGTCAACTCATCATCTAGAACTGATGACGAGATTAACATTTTGTTTAACTGATCTCGTTTGCGGCACTGAAATCATGCGTTTCGTTATGGGGTAGTGCAGTATAAGGAGTTATAACCTTTATTGAGCAATATGGGATTCACTACTGTCCTGTAAACTACATCCTCAAACTTTCTATCAATAAAATAATGATTGATCAAATGTCGCTTTCTCTGCAAAGCAACAACTATTCGGCTTTACAATCTGCTCGAGTCAGCTCTTCTTCATAACAACTATTTGGTGTCTGAAATCGAATGTATCTGCGTCCGTTTGGTAACAAATTATGTGTCAAACAAGTGAAAAAAGAACGAGACCGCCATAAATGGAGATCAACATTGGTTTGCACCCAGCTCAGTTGTGGGAAGAAAATTCCAATGAAAGATGCAAAAACCTACGCGCCTTTCATCACCAAGGACATTTTACAAGGAAGATGCTAAGGAAGTGACATTCCTGCGACGGTAGTTCCAGTATACCAAACAGTTTGCCCACCTAACAGTCACCCATCAAGCAAATTGGCCCTATAAAGGTGTTGTCAAATAGGGTCTGATAATAGTTTCAGTAGATTATATTTGTTGCCTTGCAGAGAAAGCGACGTTTGATCAATCTTTATTTTACTGAAATAAAGATCATCATTGATCGTAGTTACTGAACAATATTAGAAAGCTTAAGGATGTAGTTTACAGGAGATAGTGAATTGCTCAATAAAGGTTATAACTTCTTATACAGTGAGCATTAACTGATAACAAGACGCATGATTTGAAATGTCGCAAAGGAGGTCAGCTAAATGATGCCAAATTCGAGTATAATTTATAGTTAGTAAGGAACCGACAAACAAAAGAGGTCAACTAAATGAGGAGCTGATCCAGCAGGTGTTCTTTGTTAACAGACAATGCAAATTAAGTAACAATGTAAATAAACTCAGCTATATGAATGATGAATATTGGATAAATGATTTCTTACGTGACACTGAGACATTTGTCCAAGGAATGTTCAGACAAGACAGTCTTTAATTCTATGGATTTAATATAATTTTATTTATACGTATTATAATCCGGTTTTTCCGACAGTACTCGCTATGTTAGACTTCAGTAGCGATCGCCGTAACAATTCACCATGTTGGCGAGGAACCAGTGAAGACACTTGGGAGGAAGTTAGTAGTTAGCAGAATCGTCGTCATCTGAAGAGGGTGAGCGTTGCTAGCTAATGAAAGGAGGCCTTTGGCTACTTGGTTAGTGCTTCTGCTGCCGACATCGCTCTCATTAAACGGAGAATATCGGTGGATGAAGAAAGATGTGTCTAAATGAATAGCTAGCAGTGGTTCTGGACAGCACAGATAGCTAGCTAGATAGCAGCAAGCTTAGCACGCAGTACGAACGCATGCTTGCAACACAACAACGACTGCAGCAGCAGTAGCAGTTGAGGCAAAACTGACAAGAGCGCTGCCGTTGCTTCAGCGTACTTTCAGGGATATAGACATGCCACCCCACCGAGTGTAGCAGAATCAAGTATTTGCGAGTTGGTGAAGAGAGCTTACTTACTAGCTTTATGCTAGAAGTGCTGCTGCTACTGCTGCTGCGGCCTTCATTGCTGCTACTACTGCTGATCGTGTTGTTCCCTCAGAAATCAATAGCTGAGGGGGAGAGTTTGCGTTGCTCGTCGGGTAGCTCGTTGGTGGAAGAAACTGTTCCTCGAGAACAAATGAACTAGTCCCTTCTACATGTCGGGTAAGAGTATCTATCTGTTTTAACTGCTTATTATTATTGTTATTACTATTATTATTGTTTCCTATTCCATTACTTTCCTACCGTAACATTACATCTTTTTTGGTACCAATATTGATAACGCCGTCATTAATTACTTCTCTCAATATTTGTGCTTGCAGTGAAATAGAAAAATGCTCCCTAATTAATTTATTCATCCTATAGCGATGGGAAGGAATATTAACTAATCAACCAGTATAATTTACTTCGCAGTCAATCTCAGATTGCTTCAAATCTACCAGTTTTCATCTCAATCTTTGTTATATTTCTGTCATTAATTTCTTCTCTCAATATATATATATATATATGTTTAGCAAAAGCGCGGTTAGAAAATCCATATACTGCCTATATGGTTCGTAGTGAGATCCGGATTTAAGTTGTATAAGTAATATGCTGTTCCAAATTACTCCTTAATTTGGTATCTCAGGATTTCCTTAGTAATTCACACCTTTATTCAGCATCTCTTAATCATTTACTCATAAATCATGCTTCTTAGCGCTATCAGTAAATAGTTCAATTGATACACTGTTTTTGAATTTCTTTCTCCATTTGGAAATGCCTTTGTAAATTCTGAACTTTGAATTTTTGAATTGAAAATAAATTCTAATTACTTTTCTCCAGATTTTTAGATATAAATATTTCTCGATTTTAATTATTCCTAACGTTCTGGAATTTGGCTGTGGAAATTTAGAATTATGCTATTTATAAAATTTGACTGGCGAGAGATAACAGATAAAAACTACCTTTCGTATGCCCTAGCCATTTCAAGTCATCGAAATAGCACCTGATTTCTCGCTTTATTAGATCAGATCCTTCTGTTGCATAACTAAGAAACTGTGTGAACAAATGTTTTGTCAGATATTCATCGATATTCGATATTACCACCGTTTATGTAACTAACTTGCAATAAATTATAGATACTCTTCTCATACCTTATATATATGTATAGAGAGAGGATTTCATTT